GGTTTTTGTACCTACAAAATCCGATGAATTGCAGTCGCGGAGGATAACCCCCAGCAAAATCAAAACCACTTATTTAACAAGCACAACCCAAAACAACCCCATGCAAAAATATTTAACCAATCAGAAACAGCATCCATCAATTTTTTTGGCGACGAATCAAATCCTAAAATAAGCTCAAAAATGGACACACCTTTTGCAATATGACAGATGAAGGCCAAGGCGCCGTACGGAAGCGTGCTGAGGACACGATGCAGGAAGTGAGAGAAGAAGATGTCTCGCACGAATATGTCCAAGCTTGCCAAGATATACTAGGGCATCAAGCTGCTCAAAACTCGCAGGGACGTCCGCAAGAGTTGTGGGAGACTAACCGCTTGAAGTGGGTCGCATTTCAGCACAACCAGCGCGCTGAAAAGACTTGTGTAAGGTGCGGTAGGACTCTTATATGCTATAATTGACCATTCTAACTAATAATGGTGTTGGAATAGGACGCCACAGTAGGCTACGCGAAGCTGAAGACGTGCCAGGGTTTCGTGAGCCGACACCTAAAGGCATCGCAGACCATCCCCTCGAGATGCTCAGTCTCCATCTGCCAGTGTTCGATTCCGTGCTTGCCAAGGTGCGTGGAGAGTACGATTTCAGTGTTTGTATCTAATACTGACATTCTCTGCAAAGGTGGACGAATATGCAATGCTCTCCAAGAGGTGGTTTTGGATGATGCAGTGCCACCTGCATCAAGAAAGCTTCATTCAACTTGTCGCATGTACCGAGCGAACTTTACGATTTTAGTGTGTACACCACCCATTTTTTAACGAGATATATGCCTTGTTAAACCGATTTAGTAAAAGGTTTAGGGTTCTCGCTTTTGGTTCGTTTTACAACTTGTTAATTTCAGAATGCTAACTATAGTGAATTTTTACAGATGCAACGCTCTAAGAGCGCTGTTTGTCTGAAAAATGCACTGTAGTGTAAACTCCTTACTGAGTTGAAGGATTGGTTTCCCCAGTACGGAATTTAATGGTTTAACGATGCGCAAAATGTATTAAACCTTCCGTGGACGGGCACTTTTGACTATATTGCTTTAGAAGGTCAAGTCATTAGGCCGCCAAAGGGGCATTTTGCCCCCTTTCATAACCACGGTACTATAGCATATCTTCTACAAATCCTTGTAGTTCAAGTAGGAAGGCGGATTCCGCCTCGTCCACACACACAAAAGAATGAACGGGAGAATTTGCTTCCATTTCAAAGATGACACAAGTGGTACTCGAGGGTACACCTCCAAAAAGAGCGCAAAACGCCCCCATTGACCACGAAATGGCTAAGACATGGTCTCACGTTTATAATATTAAAGTGTAGTATATTTAACCGTTGTTAATAACGGTTATCTGTTTGCTTTAACGAAAAGCTTCCTGATAAAGTTTAAGCCTTTAACCTAGTTTGGGTTTATTCTGCTTCCGCCACTGCGCCGGATCTGGAACCTCTGAACTTGCTGAGTCAGTGCACATGCTGGCAAGGCCGTCTGTAACAATTAGCAGTAATAGCCCGCGGATCCTGTTTTGGGGATGCAGTGACACCCTACGCACCACCGCCCCCAGTTGCTGGAGACATCTCGCCTACACGTATTCCAATTGCTCTACCTTTCTCCATTTTTTGCCTTCGTGGACGACTTGGTTGCGAAGTTGCCATTATAAAACATGACCTATGTTGCACAGTGCCCAACAAACGCGGGCCATCGAATCCTGCATCCCTGTATCGAATTTGGCATGCTTGCGAATGTGATGCGTTTTGAGCTTCTTTTCAATTGGCGGTATCTCTCTGGCCGAAAAGTCGTCTTAGTACTTCTCGATAATGATCTGATCGACCTCCACACCCCGCCGATGCTCGAAGCACCTTCATAAGAAGCACTAAGCACGCGATCATGACCATGCAAAGGCCTGGATCTGTCAGGCTGTGGCAAGCGAACATGTTGATTCTACAAGTTTCGTAAGTAAGATATTGAGCTACCGGTCAAATCGTCGGTGTCAGCAGCTGTCTTTTTACCGGAATTTTTTGCCAGCTCCAAATTGACTTGGTTTCACTATCCGACTGCTTGCGTCCAGATATTCTTAGAAAACATTAGCTCGAGCTGCCTACTATAGCGGTACTGTTCAATTGGCTTAACCTGGACTCCGTGGGGCACCAAATTAAAAGCTCCAAGCAGCATTAATGATAAAAACTCGCAACGGACGACAGCTCAACCACATAGCTCGAACCCCATCAATGTTGAAGCGATACGTAATGCGTGGGTCACCACGGAAGCAATGGGGAAGTACAGGAGTAACTTCAACGGTGTAAAAAAGTGGATCAGGGGCGAGCTCGCTAAGAGGATGAGAACACTACCAGAATTTATGACGATGATGATGATCTCAATCTGGTATGTTTACACCAAGTTTGTTTGGGCGATTTCTCGTCTATAAAAATTCTT